CCCCCCTCCCCCGCCCTTCCTCCTCTTAGGAAACAAAGTGCACATCACCAGCAGAAACTGACCACCAGGCCACTGCCAGCACTGGCCAGGTCTTAATCTGGAAATCCCTTTGGAAGACGAAGTCAGGATAGCCAACAAAGGCTGACTACCGGTCAAAGCAGAACTGGATACAATCGGTTCTTGCTGAAGAACGAAAACGGCGTTACGAAAACTGTAGCTGATCAAAGCATCAAAAGAACTGACAATTCCTTTCCCAATGCAAAAGTGTGCGGGAAAACAACGTTCATACAATCATAGAATACAGGCGACTGAGCAACGAACGATCAATGAAGGCCTGATGGGACCAGGATGCTGTAATGGCCAAGAATATGTCGCGATTATCGAAACTGGCCAAATCATTGAGCGCCGCACGTTTGGCACCCAGCTCATTACGATACATTTTGATCAAAAGCGGTAAAATTTCGCGCAATTCCGTCAATTTATGTTGCACTATTGCCGGTTTATCACCGTGCATTTCGATGAGGTTCTGGAAACCAGTAAGTCGATCACGTGCACTTTGCAACTTGTCGACCACACGTGCCATCCGTTCATTGACCATTTCTGCCAATTCTTCTGCATCCCGCACAATTTCATGCATAATTCGGTCCTTGTCTCCGGATTCTATGTGTTTTCCAGAAACTTCCACTTCACCATAAACGCCTTTTTCGGCCAGTAAAACGGCACTCAAGCCAGATGTGGTGGCTGATTCGAATTTCCTTCCAGCTTTTTCTGAATCCACACCAGCAGTAGTCTCCGTACTCGAATACATCACCAACAGCCTGTTGTTGATGATCTTCTCGACACGACTGTAGCTCAGGCCATTAAGTTCCTCCCAGCGCTCAGTCAGATTCCAGATTTCGATGCAGAAATCCCGAAGACGTTGTTGCACCTCCTGATAGTAATTTTCCAGTAATATCTATGTTAAAATTATTGTAACAGTTTTTATACGTTTTCGGTCGCAACGACCGCAAAAAAACCACTCGACAATTTCACCCTCTTCGGCAGCCCTACTTGCACCGTTCAATTTTGGTTCGGCCTTCCACGGCCCTTCTATTCCAGAATCTGAGCAATCACGGGCAAGCCTACCGATAAGTTCTCGTGCATATATATATATATATATATAT